GGCCACTAGGCCACAGTTCCACGAATCATATCCAGTCACAAGATATTCATGTTCCAAAAGAAAGCAGCCATCTTTCCATGTACCTCTTTTTTAGGAATGAGAAATCTTCTTTCCAAAAGTCTACTAACAAGACTTGGCTTGTGCCTCTTTGGGAAGGTTGTCACATGCCCATCCCCAAGCCAGTCACTGGCAAGGATCTTCCATGAACATATGGTGAGGAATCAACCACAAAGATTCCACCATTAAACTTTTGGGAAAAGTCTACCAACCAAAAGATAGTAAACCTGTCTTTCTTTCCTTAGGATTGTGAACCACTGATGTTTAACATGTATTGCTTTATTGGCATCAAGAGGAAAAAAAAGTTTCATGAACATTTATCGTACATTCCGAGTGAAAGACACCTTGCCAGGCACTGAGGGAAATACAAATGAAAGACTCAACCTCTTTACTTGTCTTTCCTACCATAGTAGTGGACTCAGGCACAGGAACATGAGCTACTTTGCAAGGCAGTTTTTTTTGTAAGTACCATATTTGATGCACAATTAAAGTATTAGGGGAGTAGATAGAGGAGATTAAGAATATTTTTGCTTCAAAGACCATTACACCTAATTTTCTGATTTATGACTGTCAAAGAGCCATAGAAAGATAATACACAAGGTTGAAGAGAACATTTCATCAGCCTCAGCAGGCACAGAACTGTTCTCCAAATGGCAGCCATCACCTCACACCAAATCATCAGGCAGAGAACCCACAGGGTCAGACCAACCAAAGCATGATGGTGACTTAATTTCCAAGAGACTGTAGAGCACACTGCTTACAAACAAAACACCTTTTTAATTAAGGTATAACATACATAATTAAGGTATAACATACATAAGGTATAACATACATACGATGTTAAATGTGTAACTCGAGAAATTTGTGTGTGTGAGTGGCAGTAACTCTTAAACATAGAACACTCAGAATAGTGGCTGACACACAAAAAGGGCTCAGTTAAGTACTAGCTGTTGTTTCATCTGCCACTTTGAGAGGTAAAAAATACACTGGTTTCATTTGCATTTCTTTGAGAAATGGGACCGAACATTTTTTTCCTGTGAATTACCTGTTCAAGTCCTAAGGCCTTTTCACTATTGAGATATTAGTCTTTTTTTTTTTTTTTACTAATTTGTAAGAACCCATTATAAACTAGTAACACTCACTCTTGCCTTACAATGAAATTATTTTTCCCAATTCATCCCTTGACTTTTAAACTTCTTTGCCACCCATTAGTTTTAAATATTTATGAATTTTATGCTTTTTTTTTTGTAATTCTACATTTTTTTTTTCAATTTTATTTATTTTTTTTGGCTGCGCTGGGTTTTCATTGCTGTGCACGGGCTTTCTCTAGTTGAGCTGAGTGGAGGGCTACTCTTCGTCACGGTGCACAGGCTTCTCATTGCAGCGGCTTCTCTTGTCGTGGAGCACGGACTCTAGGCACGCAGGTTTTAGTAGTTGCAGCATGTGGGCTCAGTAGTTGTGGCTCGCGGGCTTAGCTGCTCCGCAACATGTCCCCTGCATTGGCAGACGGATTCTAAACCACTATGCCACCAGGGAAGTCCCTACATTTTTTGGTTTGAGGGCCTGCACCATTTTACATTCCCACCAGCAATTCACAAGGATTCCAATTTCTCCACATCCTAGTCAACAGTTGCTATTTTCTGTTTTATTTTTATAATAGCCATCCCAATGGATGTGGTAGTATCTCACTGTGGTTTTTATTTGCATTTCTCTAATGTTAATGATATAAGAGCACATCTTTTCATATGCTTATTGGACATTTGTATTTCTTCTCTGGAGAAATGTCTATTCAAGTCCTTTGCCCATTTTTAAACTGGATTGTTTGGGTTTTTTGATGAGTTGTGGGAGTTCTTTATATATTCTGGATGTTAACCCCTTATCAGAGATATGATTTACATGATATAAACATTCTTCAATGATACACTAATTTTAAAAGGGCTATGGGGGTGGCGGGGTCGGATGAACTGGGAGATTGGGATTGACATATATACACTAATATGTATAAAATGGATAACTAATTAAAGAACCTGCTGTACAAAAAAGAAACAAATAAAATAAAATTCAACAACAACCAAAAAGGGCTACAGGGGACTTACTTCCCTGGCGCTCCAGTGGTTAAGACTCTGCGCTCCCAATGCAGGGGGCCTGGGTTCGATCCCTGGTTGGGGAACTAAGATCCCGCATGCTGCACAGTATAGCCATGTTCCAGAAAAAGTCACCAGCCTTGTGGAAATTCCATTCTAGTTCATATTTCAGAGCCCCCAAAACTCCTGGCTTTAGTTTAGTGGTATCATTCACTAGGAGGATGAAAACAGGGGATGATCTTTTTTTTCTTTTTCTTTTTTTTTTTTAAGGGGATGATCTGAAGAGGAAGAAATTGAGTTCCATTCACACAGTCTAGTTCAGATGGCAGCCGAATGAATACTCAGTAATGGAAGACTTTAGGGAAACAGTTTCAAAAGCCAAATTGCAGAGGGCTGAAAAGTTAGGAGTTTAAGCAGACGGTATAGACTACTCTAAAGCAGCTTTGGGACAAATGACGGAAACAGATGGGATGGTTGGGGTGTGACAGAATGAGAGATCTTGGTAGGTCAAGTGAAGTAATATGTTGCCATGAGAGTGTGGTGGAAGTATTCCTGGGATCCAGTGGGTAAAGCGAAGTCAAGAGGACCTAAGACCTAGACCAGTGATTCTCAAACTTGACTCTATGCTCTTTTCCTTTGTAATTTCAAGCTTTGATGTTCTGCTTTAAAAAAAAAAAAAACTTTTGCCCAACTATGTTATTAAATATTCATCTATATTTTAGTATGAAACTTATAATTTTCTTTCTTTATATTTAAATGTTTAAGACATACATAATTTATCTTAGTATCCAACTTTGTTTAAAAACAGCCATCCCTGACTCTGTATATTAAATAATTCAACCATTTTACACTTACTTAAAATGACATCCCTATCACAAATTAAATTTTTGTTTTTCCTTTTCCTCCTACGTCATAAGAATGTCCAGAGGAACTGAATTTAGTTGACTTCTTTAACTGTATAGAATACCTAGTTGTATTATATGAGAAGGCCATGGCAGGAGAGAAATATAATTCTACACACTAGTATGTATTTCTAGACTGACTAGTCTCTTTCACTGACCATCAGACTATTTCTACTCGGCTTTGTATTTCCGGTGAAGTTACACTTTCATATCCACGTGGATACCATGGCTTAAAATGCCCTATACATCCTCAATATACCTGTAAATTCATTTATCTACATCATTCGGTGCCTACTGTGTACCATGCATCAAGCTAAGGAGTGAACCAGACAAATGCAACTCTTCCCAAAATGTGGCATAAATATTATCTGGTAGAAGACAATCCTTAAATATTCACACCAATAATTCATCACTGCTGTGTTTGGTGCTACAAAGTACAGCATAATACCCTTTGCAGCTGAGAAGTCTTCTTTCCAGATCTGTTCACTTCTGCATACTTTGAGTGCACAGCCAATTTCCAATTCCCAATGAAAAATACCAGAAGGAACTTGGAGAATTATCTTCAGAGTATCTACAAGATGTCGTAGGCTAATGAGAGGAGTAGGAAAAAATAGTTAAAACAAAACCCTAAAATATTAGGCAACGAAGTCCCATCAGCTCAATGCACTTGGAGACAGTCCTTTAAATTCTCAGGTCTATATCCTGAGCAAAGCCAGTCCCATGGCAGATGAGATCCCAAACAAGTTAAATAAGATCAAGAATGTGACAGAAAGGCAACTCCAATGCAGGATCATTTTGCCTTTTGAAAGGGAAAACCTGTTACTTCCTTTTTATGTACTGTGCCCTATTTTCCTGGGGTGTCCCTATTCTCTACAATTAATAGGTTTCAAAACTGAGGGCAACTGGAAGGAATAATTTTAATAGCTGAAACAAACAAAAAAATTCCTTTATGAGAAAAAGAAAAAACAAAACCAAAAAAGCCACAAATTTTTCCAACCAGCAAATTCTACATGCATTGAGAGGCTACAGAGTCACTGACAGTGATTAAACTACAGAGCACCAGTTTTCCAGCTTAAACTGGAAAGGATTTTTTAAAAAAATTAAAGTAGATATGTCTGAGGGCATCTAAATATAAGTAATTCTTTTCTTTGTAAAAAAATTTCTCCCTCGGGGTGGGATAGGGAGGGTGGAAGGGAGACGCAAGAGGGAGGGGATGTGGGTATATATGTATACATATAGCTGATTCACTTTGTTATAGAGCAGAAACTAATACAACATTGTGAAGAAACTATACTCCAATAAAGATGTTAAAAGAAAAATTTGTCCCTCACTGAACCCATTTTGATGGTAACAAATAAATGTGACTTTATAATAACCTAAAAAAAAAACCCAACCTAGGTTGTTAGGCCATTTTTTTTTTTTTGCAGTACGCGGGCCTCTCACTGCTGTGGCCTCTCCCACTGCGGAGCACAGGCTCCGGATGCGCAGGCTCAGCGGCCATGGCTCACGGGCCCAGCCGCTCCGTGCATATGGGATCCTCCTGGATCGGGGCACGAACCCACATCCCCTGCATTGGCAGGCGGACTCTCAACCACTGCGCCACCAGGGAAGCCCCAAGAGGCCAATTTAAAACAAAAACAAATGGGTAACTTGTATTTTTACTTTAAAATAAGTTTGAGATTTCTGAAGCCTGTGCTGATGAAAGAGGATGCCAACAAATTCACTCATCACCATACATAAAGTTAAGCTTTCTAAACTAAATCTCTTTAGCATGATCAAAAACAGTCTGCTCTTAGAAGATCCCCAAATGCTATCTCTTCCAACTCTTTAAAAGCCAGCTTCTGTTTCTCCAAGAAGCAAAATACATTCAATATTGCAAAAAAGCACCAGAGGTTATCTGAAATGCAAAATAACTGGCAAGCCACATTCTTTTTCACAGAATTAGCAGGCATCTATTACCTGTTTCTCAGATTGTTTATTTCCCTGTTTCTTTTTTTTCACTGGCAGGACGGTCCAGAACCTCTATTTTGCCTTTTCCATCTTCTGAATGAGGAAGCTTAATGGTATCGATGGTGACTTCACCTTCAGAAGAGGTGCTATCATCTTCATCCTCAAATTCTGAACTGCCCTCTGAACTGTCTTGTGAATTCTCTTCTGAACTGTCCTCTTCTTTTGAATCAGACTGATTCATCTCAAACAAGGCCACATCCTGCAAAACACCACCATGTGGGAAATTTATTTCAGGGCAGTTCCCTAAAAAGTTACAGTAACAACTTTGGGAAGGGACCAAACCTTTAGCCCAAGAAGCACGCAGGACAGAAAACGTTCTTTTTTTTGGCTGTGCCACGTGGCTTGCAAGATCTTAGTTCCCCAACCAGGGCTCAAACCCAGGCCCTCAGCATTGAAAGCATGGAGCCCCAGTCCCTGGACCGCCAGGGAATCCCCCGGACAAGAAAAGTTCTTAATACAATATGGCACTATTATTCTTTCAGTTGCCAGAGTCCACCATAATGATTTATATTTACTGCAAGTCTAAAAAGTCCCCCACAACCGAATTCTACAAATCCTGATTATATTCAACACAATTCACTCAACAAATATTAACAAGTATCAACATGAACAAGGTACCACACTAGTGGCTCAACAACAACAAAATCCTGGCCTTTGTGGAACTTATGTTTTTGAGGAGGAGTTGGCAAATCACAGCCTGCAGGGCAGACCCAGCCCACTGCCTGTTTTCTTGCAGCTCTGAGCTAAGAACGGTTTTTACACTTTTCAGTGGTAGAAAAAACTAATCAAAAGAGTAATATTTCATGAAACATGAAAATTATATGAAATTCAAATTTCAGTGTCCATAAATAAAGCTTATAAAACTTGCCTGTTCGTTACATATCATCTGCAGCTGCTTAGACACCGAAATGGCAGAAATGAGTAGTCACAACGGACACAGTAGGGCCCACAAAGCCTAATGTATTTACTATCTGGCCCCCAACAGAAAATGTTTGCTAACTTCTGTTCTAGTTGGGAAAGAAAGACAATAAACAATTACACAGAAAGCATAGTGTAGGGCAGTGAAAATTTAAAAAAAAATAAAAGCTAATAATAGAGCCACCGAGAAGGCCTCTCAAGGTGACAAGTGATGAGAGATGGAAGGAGTCAAGACGCAGGAATCTGGGGAGGGGCATTCTGCAAGGAGGGAAAAGGCCCCGAGCAAGGAGATGGAGACTGCAGTGCAGTCACTGAGGGTCCTTGGTGGGAGACAAGGTCAACAGAGAGCTGGAGGCAGAATCACACAGGCCCAAAAGAAACGTGATGGGAAGCCCCCTGGTTCCCAAACTGCGGGCCACACACACTGGGTGAAGAACAGACTCTGGAAAGAAAGGGTGGAAGCAGGAAGACTGGTTGGGAAATTACCGGGATAATCCAGAAGGGAGACTGTAATCACCTAGAGAAAGGGTGGTGGATGCTGTGTGGAAATGGCTGGATTTGGGATGTATTCTGGAGGTAGAGCTGCCAGACCTGCTGATGAATCAGATATGATTCTTAACAATGGTGTCAGCGCTGTCCAGACACGAGTGTTATACAGGGAATTCCAGTGTAGAAATAAGATATGAGCCTAAACTGAGAGACAGTTTTCACGTGTGGCTTATGTGATCAGTTATTCTGTTATACACATCATTTACTTTTGCATCCTCAATGAATCAGACTATGATTACCTCTTTTGGGCCTTAGATGGGAAAATAAGAAAAAAATCCAGTTAGAACACTTAGTAAATAAATGCTTCAAGATAACAAATGTACTATTTGACTTGAAAAAGGCCTTCCTATGATGCTGAATTACTAAATTCCTAAACTTCACCCAGGGAAGCTTACTGACCTATGAGATCTTCAATCACCAAATGACCGAGTATCTGTGCAGTACTGGAAACATGAGCTAACTTTGAAAGAAGGAAAAAAACACGCAGAATTAAAATTTAAAAGTTCTCTTTTTCAGGTGACGAGGCATACTGGTAATTTTACATTATGAAATGAAAACAAAGCATAGTTACCATTTGTATAACTTTTCCGAGAGTCTCATCAATATTTTCAATATTGAAATGACCAGGTGGTGCAGCTGCCATTTCTTTCCTTAGCTTTTCGTTTGCCTGAGCCATCTGTGGGAGAAAGCTCTGTACTTGGTCCAATACTAAGGAGAGAAAATATAGTTTATCAATATTTATGTTAGTATTTGGCCAAACTTCAAATTTTTAAATCCAGAATTTCCTGTAAAAACACTTCTAAACTTGACAGGAATAACAATAGTTATAATAAAATCTTTCAAATTCCTTCCATTTTACAAACTCCCATCCTCTCCTGAATTCTTAAAACGGTAGGACTACACAATTCTGCAATTATTTCTCAATGTTTTGTGTTTCTCATATATGCCCAGGACTGGAAATTCCTAGAAGGCTGGCATTCAACAAACAGTAACTGAATAAGTAGGCAGTAGGACTTAATAGTTAAATGCACGAGGCTCCGAGGCTTTGGGGTCACACCGACGATGATAATAGAACCCCAGAACCACCTCTTACTATCTGAGTTATCTTGGGCATGTTAATGAAGCAATGGCTGTTTTTACCTAACCAACATCTGTTCCCCTTTCTTCTGATAATATAACGATGACTTTCCTTTTAAGCTCTGTCACTCTTAGTCACTCTTGTCCCTACCCCATTCATGCCGATGTGTTCCACAACCTTGGCCACTATGATTTGGTTTAACAACACTGTGATCTGTCAGGCCAATCAGAGATCACCCTGGGACTCTGGTTGGAACTGTTGAGAGAAATATCCCTTCTTTCCGAGTAAATGACTAAGTGAGCTGCTGAATGTAAGCCTGGAGCTGCTGATAAACTGGCCCGCCTGCCACCTGTCGTGGAAGAGCTTGTTCTAGATGAAGTCAACACCAAGGAAAGCAGAACTAAGAGATACAGAGCAGAGGATCCCAGATGACGCCAAGCACCTGGATGCAGATGTACCTGAAATCACTGGGGTATTTTTCCCCAACAAAATGAGCCAACATCATTTGGCTGAAGGCAACGTGAACTGGGTTTCAGTCATTTACAACCACAGAAGCCTAACTAATGCGTTTAATTTAACCAATCAAAACCTGTTTACTCACCTGTAAAACAGGGATGATAACTGAAAGGCACTATGGTAAGCACAGGGGAGTCAATAAACAAGGGATTTCTAATTTCTTTAGCTCTAAAAAGAGGCCTGGCACATAACTATGCACATCATGGGTTCTCAGAACTCCTTAAGTCACTGATACAACCACAGAACAGCTGACTGAAATGTCCAGAGTATGGAAGAAGAGAGGAAAGTCGAGATGAAGGTCAAGAAATGGCCTTTAATTGTGAAACAGGACGGCCGGAAGGATTCCAGATGGCATACCCAACTTGGAAAAGAGTTTGGCAATTTTTCCTTCATTAAAGAATACTTTTCATATGACCCAGAAATTCCACTCAGAGATATGTACCCCCCCCCCAAAATAAAAACCTATGTCCACACAAAAGCTTGGATTTGAACAGGGAGCCACCATGCAGTCATTTTAGCTGTTGTAGATTTAGTGCATACTATAGTTAAGTTCCCCTCTCGGAATACTCATCATTCCTTAGTTTATAGACATGATAACTTCATGCATCATTTACATTGTTTTTACTACTTCTTGTCTTTATTCCTTTTTTTTTAAACATTCAGATTGAATTACACAGAACCTGAGTATTACATGAATGCTACCTGAACAAAGTGTGAGTGGTCTATGAGCGTGCAGTACAGCAATATGACACAGTAATTAATGAAGAGAACTGGCCCTGTTATGTTACGAGTAACATTTACTATTTAAGTAATTATGTCCAATTTAATGGGATCTGGTAGTGTTTTCCCACACATGAATACTGAATTCGGGACTCAGTAACCTCTAGAAAAATTTCCCATGGAGATTAACAATAATTGGTTTTGATTTCCAAAAAATCCATCCCACAAGGATTTTTTCTGGGCAAGGTTACCCTCTTAAAGCAGGGGAATAATGTATTATCCCTGTGCACTGGATTCACAACGTAATTCCCAAGTAAGACTTGCTCAGCTTCACTCTCTGTGGTTTGATATCTGACAACAAAGGCAGATACTGTCCCATCAAATAAGCGCTTAATTAGGCAGAATTTCACATCACAGAGGGTTCTTGAGAGAGAGAGAAAGGAAGAGAGAGAGAGAGAGGGAAGAGTACTTACGGGGACTCCTCTCTACCCGAACTGTTTGAAGAGTGGAATTCTTTCTGGAATTAGGCTTGGAGTTGATGAGCAACCTGTCCCATATACCTGCAAACACACACACTTCATTTACTATAGCATAAAGAAATAGGAGCCCATCAGCAAACTTTCCAAGACCACCCTCAAGCCCTCAGGTTTTGACCATTTGTTCCTCACTTCCCAACACATTTTTTAAAAAAAGAAGCACTCCAAGTTCCATTACAACATTTTAGTCCTGCACACAGATCTCCCCTTTCTTAAATCTGTCTCCTACATCTCTGCGTCACCAATGCCAGGTAATAAATGAACACTGAACTGCACCTTTCTGGGTCAGAAACCCATCAGTGACAAATGTGGGTCGGCAATGACAGAACACAAGAAGCAATACAAAGTACCATAAGGGTTAAGTGAAGCCAGCAATGGTTTACCAGCTGCATTATATTGGACAAATTACCTAAGCTTTCTGTGCATTAATTTCTTCATTTATAAAACATGCCTGCTAGATTAGTTCCCCCTCAGTAAAGATGTCCAACCTAGACAAAACAGCTCTTTAAACCTCCCCACTCCCAACACCATCTATTCAGCCTTACATTCACAACTCCTCAAATCAACCCAACTCTCCAGCTCATCAGAGCTCAGAGAACAGGACTTGTCTTTCAAAACCCAAGGCTTTGCGCACCGTGTTTCCAACACCTCGAAAATCTCTTCACTCTGGTGTAAAAATCCCGTTCACCCTCAGAGCAGCAGCTCAATATTCCTTGCTTACTACCTTAGACCTAGCAATTGGATTAGTGCAAAGAGCATGGGCTCTGGAGCCACGCTGATTGGATTCCAATCTCAGTTTTGCCACTTCCCAGCCACATGATCTCCAGCAAGTTACTCAACTGTATGATACACCAGGTCTCAGTTTCCTCATCTATAAATGGCGATAACAGAGCCTTCTACACAGGGTGGTTGTGAGGATTAAATTAGTGAATTAATTCCTGGGGCAAAGCAGGCACTAAGAAAGCTTCGGCTATTATTATTATAACTTCTTTGGATGCTCTGGATTCTCACAGAATCTTTTCTTCAAAATAATATTTAAGGAGAATATGTCCAAGACCTTAGGTGTATTCTTCTTCTCAAAAAAAAAAGAAAGAAAGAAAAGAAAAACAAATTCTATAGATACTACTGCTTCCATTTTCCCAATGTAAAAACTGAGGCGCTGGGAATGTAAACAACTCTCCTAAAGTTCCATAGAGAATAACTCGTGGGGCTGGGATTCGAATCCTTGCTTCTTAATTATTATGGTGTCTGAAATCCTGTGCGGATTTCCTGTACCCGTCTTCCTCTAGAGAGAGGCACAAGGGTGGCTCTGTGGGCATCTGCCGAGGAAGGGTGGTTAATACTCATCTGCTCCCCTTACCAGTAAACTGCTGGGACCCAGAGCCGACCATAAGGCCGTCCCCTTAGGGGAGGTGTCTTGCTGTGGCGCACGTCAGTGGGCGCTCACCGCGGTGCGGGATACAGGAACCACGCCCAGGCCCGAGGCCGGGTGCGCGCCCCCAGCTGCCCGGTCCCCCACCAAGTCCTGCGGCCACCCCGGGGGTCCCTCGGTGGGTCCGGGCCTGGGCAGGGAGCCGCCGACCGGTCCCCGGCTGCTCCGGCAGCGCGACCCCTGCCGCACGTGCGCGCCCCACGCCGCCGCCACCCGCCTGTCACCTCCGCGGCCGCCGCTACCCGCCGTCAGCAGCTCCCTGGACACCGAGACCCCGGAGCCGTCCCGGGAAAACGACGAACAGCTCGCGTCGGGCTGGGATTCGCCGTGGGCCTCCATGCTGCTCGCCCGTCTTCAGAGTAGCCTCTCCAGGCCCGGACGCCGGAAAAAGGCTGGGGAAGGGGGCGGGGCCAGGACTACAACTGGAGGAAAGTCGGAGGGGCGGGGCGAGGGCGGAGCGAGGGTGGCCTGCGGCGAGGGCGGCCCCTAGCGGAGTGACGAGACCATTCCTATCGTGGGAAAAGGAAGGAGAAGGGTCTGGGGACCCTGTGATTGGATGAAAGAGCTGACAAGGCTGGCTTTTTAGCTAAACCTGAAGAGCGCACGGTAGGGCCGCCCTCCTTTTCATTTTTTTTTTTTTTAATTGTTAAAAAAAAACCACATAGGGCTTCCCTGGTGGCGCAGTGGTTGAGAGTCCGCCTGCCGATGCAGGGGACACGGGTTCGTGCCCCGGTCCGGGAAGATCCCGCATGCTGCGGAGTGGCTGGGCCTGTGAGCCATGGCCGCTGAGCCCGCGCGTCCGGAGCCTGTGCTCCGCAGCGGGAGAGGCCACAACAGTGAGAGGCCCGCATACCGCAAAAAAAAAAAACAAAAAAAACAAAAAACCACATAACACAGAATGTACCATCTTAACTGTTTTTACGGGTACAGTTCAGAAGTGTTAACTCTACATTGTTATGTAGCTGATCTGTAGAATGTTTTGCAAAACTGAAACTATATCCACTGAGCAACCTCCCCATTTCTCCCTGACAACCACCATTTTAACTTCTGTTTCTATGAGTTTAACTACTTAAGATACTTCATATAAGTGGAATCATACAATATTTGTCTTTTCACAACTGGCAGTTTTCACTTAGTATAATGTTCTCAAAGTTTATCCACACTGTGGCAAGTAATAGTAGTCCCTTCTTTTTAAAGGCTGAATAATATTCCATTCCATGCACATACCACAATTCCTTTACCCATTCGTCCCTTGATAGCTGGGTTGCTTCCTCCCGGATATTGTGAATAATGCTGCAATGAACATAGGTATGCAAATATATCTTTGAGGTACTGCTTTCCATTCTTTTGGATTTATACCCAGAAGTGTGATTACTGACTGTATGGTAATTCTATTTTTACCTTTTTAAGAACTTTTGTACTGGTTTCCATAGTGACTGCACTATCTTATTCCCACCAGTAGGGCATAAGCGTTCCAATTTCTCCACATCCTCACTAATGCTTATTTTCTTTTTCTTTCTTTCTTTCTTTCTTTCTTTTTTTTTTTTACAGTGGCCATCTTAGTCAGTGCGAGGTGATAACTCATTGTAGTTTTGATTTGCATTTCTCTAATGAGTGATGTTGAGCATCTTTTCATGTGTTCACTGATCGTTTGTATATCTACTTTGGAGAAATGTGTATTCACATCCATTGCCCATTTTAGCTCAGATTGTATGAGTTATTTACATATTCTTATCAGATATATGATAATGTTTTGGAGACATAGACCATTATGAACATACAAGGACTCAGGAAATATTGTTCCCATACCCCTTTTAAAGAATTTACTAGAGAATATGATTCAGAAAATAATTGGAGAAATTCAACTTAAGTTTTGGTGGTGAGCATTTTACAGTAGTATTGGGGAGAAACAGTGAGAATAAGGTTGAAAGAATAGTATTTAATTTATATAGGTTTTGATAATATGGATATAACACAAATATGAAAAAAGGGGAGAAAGCAGAGACTATGTATGAAGAGAAAATCTGGCTTTTTAAAAACTGGGACTAAAAGAGTAATACTTTAAGTTAGATGCTGGGGGTAAAGGAGAGAAGAGAAAGAGGAGATGACTTGCAAATTACAATATTGTTCATAGTGGGAAGACAATATAAAAAAGGGGGGGTACTGAATGGTATTGAGTAAAGGTATTAGAACAAAATTAAAATATTCCTAAATACCCAAATTAATGAGATAGAAAGAGAGAGAGAAAGAAAGAAAACAGACTTCATAGGAAAGACTTTATATGATTATGACAAAACTGAAGCAAAGCATATCAATTGTATCAATACATGCAATAGGGCTTAACTGACCTATAAAAAGGAAGTATTTTCAGATTGGATAAAAAGTCAATATTCAACTCTATGCTGGATAGAAGAGACTTACTTAAAATAGAGGATTAAAATGGTAAAAATAAAAGGATGGTGTTTTTTAAAATTTAAGTGTACCTGGTATATCTATAACCATTCTAAAGAAAACCTAAATTTAAAAAAGGGTGGGGGGAATCAAAGCCACAGTGAGATATCACCTCACACCTGATAGAATGGCTATTATGAAAAAGACAAGAAACAGCAAGTGTTGGAGAGGATGTTGAAAAAAGGGAACACTTGAACACTGTTTATGGAAATATAAATCGGTGCAGCCACTATGGAAAACAGTATGGAGGTTCCTCAAAAAATTAAAAATAGAACTATCATATAATCCACCAAGTTCACTTCTGGGTGTTTATCTGAAGGAAATGAAATCACTATCTCAAAAACATATCAGCACCTCCATATTTTGCAGCATTATTTCCAATAGCCAAGACATGGAAACAACCTAAGTGTCTATCAACAGGTGAATGGATAAAGAAAATGTGATACTTATATAAATTCAGCAGTATAAAGAAGGAAATCTTCCTATTTGTAACAATGTGCATGGACCTCAAGGTTATTATGCTAAGCAAAATAAGTCAGACAGAGAAAGACAAATACTGTGTGTTCTTACTTATATGTGGAATCTAAAAAAAAAAACCAATAGAACACATCGGTACAGATTGGTGGTTGCCAGAGGATAGGAGTGGCAGTGGGTGAAATGGGTGAACTTCTAGTAAGATAAATAATTCCTGGAGATGTAATGTACAGCATGGTGACTATAGTTAACTATACTGTCTTGTATATTTGAAAGTTGCTAAGAGAATAGATCTTAAAAGTTCTCATCACAAGAAAAATAATTTTAAGTGTGTGAGGTGATGGATGTTAACTTATTCTGGTAATCATTTTGCAGTACATACATATATCAAATCATTATGTTCTACACCTAAAACTAATACAATGTTATATACCAATTATATCTTATTTTAAAAAAAAGTAAACAGGGTCATGACTTCATTATTAGACAAGCAAGAATTCAGCCTTGTTCCCCCTAAAGGAAACAAAAAGACACTTATAATGGTAAATACTGCAATTTGCAAAGAGGAAAGTATCATTAATATCCATGTGCCCAATAAAACAGCAACGAGTATTATAAAGCAAACTAAAAGGAAAGCAAAGATAAATAAGCAGAAACTCTAATAATTGGAAATTTTAACACGCTTTCAGAACAGAACAGACCTAATTGGACAAAAAAATGTGTATGGATACAGAAGATCTAAACAAAATTGTAAACAAAGTAGATCTAATAAATGTAAACACTGAATCCTGATAATAGAGATTAAACTTTCTTCTAAATCACATGGAAAATTCACCAAATTGACATATTATAGTCCACAAAGAAAATTTCAATACATTCCAAAAATGTAAATGATATAAGGGGCCTTCTGTGATCACAATTCTATATAACTGGCAAATAATGACATTAAAAAAAATCTCTTCCACTTAAAACTGTAAAAACACACTGCTAATCAATCCTTGCATCAAGAGGAAATAGTGAAATGAAACTGTGCCCCCCAAAAGCTAAGTATTGAAAAAGTCAAGAAAATGACAAACCACTAGCTAACCTAAACCAAAATAGGGAGTGGAGGAAGGTTTGAAGGTATAAACATATGAAATAAAAGGTAATGGAACAATAACCATAAAATCAGAGGAAATATATAAAAAATTATAAACACTACTTTGCACAACTCTATGCAAATAAAACTGAAAACCTGTATGAAACCATTTGAAGTGGTTAATGTTCCATAAATATATAATTTACAAAATTTCCCCAGAATCAATAGCAAGTCTAGAGAGAGCAATTTCTATAGACGCTACAAAGAAGGTTTTCAGAACTCCCACATAAAAACACCATGCCCAGTTGGTTTTACAAGGGGATTTCTGTCAAACTTTTAAAGATCAGATAAATCTAATGCTACTTAAACTATTTCAGAGTATGGGAAATAAAAGGAAATTTCCCAAGTTCTAAGAAATGAATATAGCATTGATACCCAAACTTCACAATGATTGTACATTGTACATTGATACCCAAACTTCACAATGATTGTACAAAAAAGAAAATTAGGAACTTCCCTGGTGGCGCAGTGGTTAAGAATCCGCCTGCCAATGCAGGCGACACGTGTTCGAACCCTGGTCCGGGAAGATTCCCACATGCCGTGGAACATCTAAGCCTGTGCACCACAACTACTGAGCCTGCGCTCTAGAGCCCGCTAGCCACAACTACTGAGCCCACGTGCTACAACTACTGAAGCCCGTGCTCCGCAACAGAAGCCACCGCAATGAGAAGCCCTCGCACCGCAATGAAGAGTAGCCCCCGCTCACCGCAACTAGAGAAAGCCCGTGCACAGCAACGAAGACCCAATGCAGCCAAAAATAAATAAAGTTTAAAAAAAAAAGAAGAAAATTATACACCTGGCTTAATTGGGTTTCCCTAGAAAGCCAATATAGAGGCGAGGTTCAAGTGCAAGTAGCTTGGGAGCCAGAGGGGGAAAGAGAAACGAGGAGGGAAGGGAACCAATAATGTGTTTACTATCAAGCAAATTGTGGCTAAGGGCAACTGGAACTTAATACTGCTGGGGAATTCCCAGAGTTATCCTGGGTGAGCCTAGGTATTTATCCACCAGCTCATGTTAGTCATTGGTTGAGGGCTGCTCCAACGGGGTGCAAATTTCCCAGCATTTCTGGCCTGCTCCTTGCTCTCTAGTTAAGTGGGCTCCACTGGCCAGAGAAAATCTTCAGGCAAAGAATTGTAAATGCTGGCCATTGAAAACTGGGCAGATGTGTACACAAATAGTAAGTGCCAATGTGGCACTTACTTTGAGTAAAGTAAAGTGGCACTTTACTTTGAGTAAAGGCACTGACAGCCTTTACTCAAAACCAGTCTTAATTATG